CAACCGTGCTCAGGGCCTCTTACCATCAAATACAGTCCCCTGGGAAACATACACATACCACACATGATGACAGCAAGCCATACAGAATACTTTCAAGGATAATTACCATGATCATATTTCAGAGGTAGCATATGTTCTGTGGAGCAACCTCGAACGACAACAGGGGACCCACACAGCATAAACATAGAGGCACCTGGGATCACTAATGCAAATAGCACCAGATACCATTACTCCGTTTCCACTAAGTAAATGTTCCAGTGAGAGACAAACAATTCATCATAACAATTAATAATTATAACCATGGAAGCGAGAAGAGGAGCATCCTGCTTGTTAGCAACAGGGCAAGATTTCCACCAAAACATGGCAAACTTGTTAAATGGATCTACCCATCGAAAGTGTCAACACACAATAATATGGAAGCACCTCATTTATCCAAAAATTATTGAGTGCCGCACAAGATACACAATGCTTTCTTGAAAATGCAATTAACTCCCAAAATAATTAATGGTTCCCACACATTTAAGACTGTATTGTAGTGTTTTGAATAATCCACCCTGCAGAGAATCTGTATTTACATACACTCAGAATTGCTCCTCAGAACCACATACAGTATTTTTTCATTTCTCTTCTATCTTTTTATGATTTTTATTTTACCCATTGAGCATATCAAGAAAGGAGGAACTACAATTTTGCACTGTGATCCAGAGGATGTGTCATGATGGAAGTCTTAAATTGAAATATGAAAATACACTGGTACACATTCAATATAGGAATTTTCAATGTTTTAAATGAGCTACAGCAAGTAAATATGTGTTATACGTGTAAGGGCCCTGACGCACCAGGCCAACAGTCAGCCGTCTGTCAATGTCAGGCTGTCTGTGACCGTCTGTCGCCCTACTTTTTGTGTCGTGTCCTGCACCAGTCAGCTGCTTTTTGGCAGTTTGGCTCAGTGCACAAGAAAAGTAACAGAAGTCGAGGAAAGTAAACAAACAAACGATTTAAGTCAAGGGACTGTAAGATCAAAACAAACATGTTATGAAGGTACGACTTCTTTTAGCCATTGAGGTCTTTAGCAGAAACTGTTTGTAGCTATTTGTGTTGTTGTTTGTGGGCGCACAGTAAATATCATTTGTTTTATTAACATCTAGTTCTGTGGTTCATGTGCTAAGTGGCTTTTTAATCCCTTCTGTCCATCTTCTGCATTCTCTTTAAATGACAAATACTAGGGCTGCACGATATCAGGGAAAATGTGCAATAAGCTATCATGTTATTGAATATTGTGATGACAATATGAGTCGTGATAGATAGGTTTGCACTGCCAATACAGACTCCAGACAGTGACTAGCCTATACACACTGAATTAGAAAAAAAATGAAATGCAGTAATGTTGATAGGTTTTCATTGTGGTGAGTCCACGGCACCAACAGGTGGTCATTTGAGTGGGTCCCCAAATTAAATTTGTGTTTTTGATAAATTGTAGTATTATACTAATGTATTTTTATGTGAAATGGTTCCTCTGCACTGGAATATTTATATACAGTCTATTTACAAAAACATACAAATGTCACATGTTGGTCTGAGTTAAGAGAGCAACAGATTCATCTACCCAGTATAAGGTCAATCACTGTTGATACATGATTGTAATTTGTGAAAATCCCAAAAAATAGAATTTCTTTGGATAATCAATAAAAGTTTAAATAAATTACTGTATAGATTTAATAGTTCCTTTGGATAAATGTGCTGATTCTCTTTCATTTTCAGAAGAGTTTTTATGAGTTCTTTTCACTTTTTGAGACTATGAATAAAACGGGTGACAACAGGAACAAAACTAGTCTTGCGCAAGATATAGGACATGTATGGTAAGAAAATGGTGGCCGCCTGTAAAAACATTTTTTTCAATCCAAAGTGTCCCCTGGACAGTAAAACATTATTGGGTCATCATTGACTTGAGTCAGTGCCGTATCCATCAGTAGTACAGTCATATTACCACAATGTAGCATCATCAGGGGAAAAAGAAACACGGCGCTTCCACCTGCATCATCGTTACTGACATGAATGAATACAGCATCTGCTGTCACAGCAGACGTAAGATAACAGGAATGTCTGTCACAACACCCTACATATTCATGAATTCGAGTACATTTTATGAACCTTAAAATACAAAGTTAATGTCTAATGGCGGTCCCCGGGATATCCATGCCACCCTGAAGCTTTTATCAGGAAACAGTGGCGCACTGAGCTTCAGATAAGGACAGGTGGGCAGGCGGACAGATGTCAGATCTGTGTTGTGCACCAGAACAAAAAATCCCCGACACATACGAGTTTATTCATTCATTAGTTCATTCATTCATTTTCCATAACCACCTGTTAGGGGTCACAGGAGGGCTGGAGCCTATCCTAGCTGACATTGGGCGAGAGGCGGGGCACACCCTGGACAAGTCACCAGACTATCATGGGCACATCACAAACAGTATGATAAGAACATCCAAAACACAAGTTTGATTCTCAGTGGTTTCTGTGACATGAGATATACTTTCAAAATTAGTAGGCCTAAAGTCACCCAACGCCACCGTTTTAAAATGACAAGTAGCGTGTGAATGCATAGCACATGTAAATATACTATTTACTGCAGTTCATATTGTTTTTTGTGATATAATGTGCATGTTGATGAAGGTACATTTTTTACTGCATTGTGCAACTCTAACGAACACTAGAGCCACCTGCTGGTATTAAGAGTTATTTTCTCTCACGCAGGCGTAGAGCGAACGTGCTTGTTGGCTGCTGGCTGTAGTTTTTGCGGTATGTTCAAGAATAACTTTTTGGCCAAGACACAGGTGACGTAAGGCGCAGCAACAGTCGGCTTTTGTCACCATTATCTTTTTATGTCTGTTTGGTGTCCGGTGTTTTTCTGAAATGTCAGAGATAATGTTGCACATACAGTTGTGCTGGTGAAAGATTCGACAAATCAGATTCCCCATAACAAAAAGCATGTTAAAAATGACACTATCACTGTTTCTATACAGTGAGTTTAATTACACTCATTTTAGTTTTATTGCAAGTCTGCAGGCTGTGATCCTGAGTTAGTGTTTAGCGCACTGATAAAATGTAATGTTCTTGTATCTAATCAGGATGCTCATGAGAATGGGAAAATGAAATTGTAATTTTATGTCTGCAATGATAATTTTTATTGCTAGTTCAAATTCAGTTTCATTTCTGTGTCGCTATAACACTGCAGGCATTCTTTCACACTGATGTTGCAAATATGGTGACGAGCAACAGGCACAGCATCCCTTATCTGAGTTAGTGTTCGTCAGTGCCTTTATTCTATCAATCTATTCAATTTGCTCTGTATTCACTCTTAATTCAACTCTTGTGCCTCTGAGCGTTCTCTGGGTTTATCTAGTTTACTCTGCCGTTGTCTTGCCGCAGGTATTACCACCAGCTGACCTAGAAGTGGTGCTATTGGATGAGAGGACTAGGGAGCACAATCTTCTCTGACTATCAGCCTATAAGGTTACAGGTTACCTCTGATGTCACACAGGTGACGCTACATGAATACTGATCAATGATCCCTACATCAGGGGAGGTGGATGATTTCAACACGGTTATAAATATTCAAGACACAGATGAAGCCATTAGAGAGGTCTGTTTTTTGTATGCTCGCTGTGCTGCAACTGGGGATGAAGCAACAGAAAATTCTAATCCTATGTAATATGTAGGCTGAGCCGTTTAACATTAGATGTCTGCATGAATATTTTAATATCCTGAAGAGGATGTGTAACATAACTTAGGTGGGTAAGTGATAAAATGCATGTAAAGGGATTCATACAAGGTGTTTAAGTGTGCCAGACACTTAAAATGAATGCTTTTGAGACATTTTCAAGGTCATTTTTAACCATATTTTAACCATATTTTACACTGATTTTTGGATAAATCATCTTCTTTCTTATTCAAGAATTGAAGATAAGTAAAAACCTAAGTAGTAAGTATTCCCTCCCATGCAGAGGTAGGTTTTATGCAGGATTATGGTTATTAAAATGAGTTAGATTAATCTACATTTTGCCAACAGGTAAGTACAGTATAAGGTAAAAAGACAGCATTAGGTGTAGTTGTAGGTTTAAGAGCTTGACTAATTTGAAGAAACTAAAAGATGAATAAATTAAAATTAGATCAAATGTGCCAATTCAAATTTAGAACTATTTAATGACTTTTAATGGCTGATTCAAGACATTTTGCGATTTTAAGGACCTGCAGACAGCCTGTCATGGTGTTTTACCAAAACCAACCTACACCTAAAAACAGAGAAAGGAAATATTTGACATTTGCACTGCAGACATGAAATAATAACTGTATTTTCAAATAGTTTCACAGAAAATACATAAATAGGAAACAGTCGCGTACCTGTTTCCTATTCATTATTACTGTCATTGTGTTTTGTGCTTTCTCATTCCACTCGTGCCCAGTCCATATGTGCAGACGACACAGCAAATCCCACGTGGCCAAAACCTTTACTGTATTGCCCCAGAGACCTGCTCCTCAATAAGGCTACAGCTGATTGGCTGATGGGATGGGAGAATGACAAGGGAGGGTGGGGGGACTTGAGAGTGAAGGAGGCTAAACTGTCCAGAGAGATTTCAATGCATACTAAGCAGGCCGAACACTAATGTGCTGCGAAGAATTTTCATTAGTCCCTTCAAACAGGACTCCCTCCCCTGACTGCTGTTCTGACGCTGTGCTTACGCATTTCTGCAGGTGCTTTACAAGGTTTGTGCATGTCTGTGCTTTTACTAGGGTTTTTTATAACAAATAAAACCCATAACCCAGTAAATAATGATTCATATCCAAACTAACAGTTGATACAATGAAAGTCTAGCATCAATCTTGTGACCGGCTCAACATACTGTCTTTAAACACATTCCTCAAGATCATTAGATACACACCAGGGCACACAAACTCATATGCACACCCAAGTATGTGCACAGACAAAAACTGGGACTTACCTTCTGTGGGTGAGGTTTTCAGTCGTTTGCACAGTCCCTCTACGCCCATGTAGTCCTCCTGGAGCTTGACCACCGCCTCTGTGCCACGCAGCTCCATGAGCGAGCGCAGCTCCATGAGCGAGCAGCCGAAGCCTGCCGCATGGTTGCCCTCGTTTCTTTGGTTCTTGGCATAAAAATCGCTGTTGGACATGTCCCCCATGATGTCAGCTAGTCAAGTCAGTTAGATAAGTGTTTGTTATTGCTTATAGATCAATCAAAAAGCTTGCACAACAGAGAGAGGAGCTCAGTCTCATCCCAAAAAAAATCCAAAATAGGTATCAAGCAAGCAACAGCAACCAAAACAGGGAAAAAAGAATGCCACTTGTAGGTAAAGTAGGCAGAGAGAGAGATTAAAAAGGGGGGGAAAATCCGTGGGGATCAATCGATGAGCTGCTTCTCTGTTTCAGGGGAGACTGTCAGATAATGGCAGACCCAAAACCATCAAAGAGAAGAAACAGAAGAAGAGGAGAAAGAGCAGCAGAGAACGAGGAGAGGAAGGGATGACGACACACAAGTGGGGAGCATCCAGGTGAGCGTTGGACAGCCCCAGTGGTCAGGTCCTGAGAAGGGCAATGATAGTGGTTGCAAGTCCTGTTGGTCTCAGGCTCACCACGGCTGCAGTCCAGACCCGCTCCATGTGTGGCTTCCCATTGCTGCTATTCTGCTGTTGCCTCCGCTGCCTCTCCGTCTCTACATGGTGGTCTTCCCCATCACTGCTACAGAGAGAGAGAGAGAGAGGGAGGGAGGGAGAGGGAGAGAGGGATGAATTCGAGAGATGAATTCAAAAAGGACAGAAGGTGAGGGTGGAGGAGGGAGAGAGACACAGAAAGAGAGCACAAGGATGAGCGTTGCGTTCTCAGGGCAGGGGTGAATGCAGCGGTAGATGGTGCACGGCTGAAGGACAGCCTCTCCTGGTCGCTGCAGTAACTGTGGCTCTGCTGTCTCTTTCTACTGCTGCTGCTGCTGCTGCTGCTGCTGCTGCTGCTACTGGTGCTGCTAACCTCATTCTGAGGACACGCCAACTGCCAGGGAGAGAGAGAGGGAGAGAGAGGATACGAAAGAGAGGGAGGGCGTAAAGGAGAGGATGCTCCTTTCTGGTGCAGAGCGGAGAGGAGTTGTGCGCGGGTGGGAGGCTGGGGCTGCTCTGACGACAAAGCGGAGAGGCAGCACGTAACGCTGCGCTGTCATGGGGAGGATGGGCTGAGCTGTGGAGCTGCTGCTGCTGCTATCTCACCTCTAGTTCTCTCTCAATCCACAGTAAGTGACCTCTCCTACTGTATGCAGTCACTCTATCTCAGTGATCCCTTCCTCTCTGCTAGTTGTCTTGTCATGCCTTGCATTAATGATTTTCCTCCATGTCTCCTGCCCTGTGGCCTTAGGGCTACACTCAGAGAAGAAACTTCTACAATGTTAAGGTGTTATAATTGAAGGCCTGTGACCAGTTTTTATCAATTGCAAGTATATTACAATCATGGACCAAATTTCTTGGTGTCAAAGTATGAGGCAGGCTTAATTCTATGTTTTCTTATTCTTGACAAATCCCATGAAAAGACTGTAATTAACATTTGGTTTGTCAATCTGTCAACACTTTTTTTGTCTTCCCCTCACTGTCCTTGGCACCCCAAGCATATATTTCCAAACTGAAAATGTAAATATTCAAAAATAGATGACATACAGTTAAATTCAATAAGCATAAGATAATTTTCTGAAACCAATGGACATTACAATTATTAGCAAGTTACTCGAGAAACCATGGTTCAGTAACAGTCCAGCCGCCAGAGGAAAATGTTGGTACTCGATTAATCGAATTTTAATCTAGATTACGATTTGGGCTTTCAACGATTATGAATCGACATAAAACGATTATGCGCTTCTTGTCAGTTTACTCTCGTTGTCTTGTGTTGCAAATCAAACCCACCAGGAAGCCGCGCACGCGCAATACCTCCCCCTCCCCTCCTCTTTTCACTCCACGAGCCAGTCAAGTAGGTGAACTACGAGTAATGTGAGGGGCAGGTGATCGCGGAAGGTTTCAAAAACAGCGTGTGGAAAATGGCAGAGGGAGAGCGAGAGAGGTTGGTCTGTGTGTGTGTGCGTGTGTGTGCGTGTGAGAACGTGTGTGTGTGTGTGTGTGTGTGTATGTGTGTACGCATCGGGGCTGAACTCCGCCGTGCATGATACAGAGATGTAGAGATGTATGTAGAGACGGAAATGACATGCCATCCTATAAACAATATAAGTCATCATGTGTGCCGCATAATCGTTTGCATAATCGAGATTTCAATTTTGACCAAAATAATTGTGATTATTATAGTTTCCATAATCGAGCAGCCCTACTGCATATGCTACATTTGTACATTTCATATGTACAGTAGCATATCAATGTTTATAAAGCGACATAGCTCTGATTACATGTTACGAGCTGAGTTTTCTCATCAGGAGGAGGAGGGGATAGTGGATGGTTCAACACCCAGGCAAGATCGCTTCTAAACTGCAGATCACTGTTTGAGACAAATATCAATAACGGTTGTTTTTTAGCTAGCATTTTTTCAGCCATGATTGTGGCACCAAATGCTTGTATTTTACGTCAAAACACGATCTTTTCCTAACCACGACGTCTCTCCTTTAAAGCTCTATTTATCTTCATATCTCAATGTCCATGAAATGTCCTCTTCTTTTCTCTTATCCATCATACAAACATTTCCACAAACGATAAATGCTAAGCTACACATTATCAAGACAGTGGGAGAATGTTAAAGATGTATCTTAGCATTGTCGCTAGGCAATGGCTGGAGTTGCTGGGCATTTCCATGAACGCATTTTTGTGCCTAACCTTAACCACACTTAAACCACTTAAACCACAACAACCAACATTTTTGAAACATAAAGGTTCAGAATCAGCACCTCCAAGTCTGAGGCCATGGTCCTCAGCCGGAAAAGGGTGGATTGCCCACTCCAGGTCAGGGGGGAGGTCCTTCCTCAGGTGGAGGAGTTTAAGTATCTTGGGATCTTGTTCACGAGTGAGGGTAGGATGGAGCGGGAGATTGACGGGCGGATTGGGGCGGCGTCAGCAGTGATACAGGCGCTTAACCGGTCCGTTGTGGTGAAGAGGGAACTTAGCCAGAAAGCGAAGCTCTCAATTTACCGGTCAATCTACGTTCCAACCCTCACCTATGGTCATGAGCTCTGGGTAGTGACCGAAAGAATGAGATCGCGAGTACAAGCGGCCGAAATGAGTTTCCTCCGCAGGGTGGCTGGGCTCAGCCTTAGGGATAGGGTGAGGAGCTCAGACATCCGGGAGGGACTCGGAGTAGAGCCGCTGCTCCTCCTCATCGAGAGGAGCCAATTGAGGTGGTTCGGGAATCTGGTAAGGATGCCTTCCGGACACCTCCCTTGGGAGGTGTTTCGGGTACGTCCAACCGGGAGGAGACCTCGGGGCCGCCCCAGAACACGCTGGAGGGACTACATCACCCGGCTGGCCTGGGTTCCCGCGGAAGAGCTGACGGAAGTGGCTGGGGAGAGGACTGTCTGGGCTTCTTTGCTGAGGCTGCTGCCCCCCGGACCCGGATAAGCGGAGGACGACAAGTACGAGTACGAGTACGAGAGGTTCAAAATATCTGCTACATAATAACATACAGATGTTACATATGCATGATTTAGTACAACGTACAATGGCAACACTTATATCTGGTACTCTAGTACTCTATTTTTTCTTTGCACCTGGGCTCAAAGCAAATGTCTGTGCCCAGGTTCACTGTAATAAAGTAACTAACATGTCACTCAGCACAATGGTGTGGCTCATTGTTGTGTTTTTAATAGTTTTTGGACAACAATAGAGGTGTATGGCTCAGAGGAATAAGCAGCACAAGCAATACCTGTTAATGGGATCATCTATTGTTAGTCTTTTCATGAGATGAGGAAAAATAGAATACAGCCATCCTTTTTGTTTAAATCACCAGTTTCACACAATCTACCCTCCTCCACACATACATGCAACATTACAATACAATGCACAAGACGCTAATTATCTGTCACCACTGATTTACATCAGTGCCTCCATTTCCAATAAGTGACATCAGTGGCCAGTAAACCTCTGGCTTACAGCAGCCCTACATCACTTCCCAGCCACTCAGGGGAAAACCTGGAATCAAGACGCCACTGTATTGCATCATACTGAATGCTACAGTAAATCAATAACAAAGCACAAAAACTGGCTGGCTATATCATCTCTCCGTCATCTATAATGCACAGTAATAATACTTCTCTATGAGGAACACTACACTGATAGCATGGCCAGTCACTCCATTTAATAAACAAGCTATAAAATCATACAATGAGTGATTTGGTCGTTCATTCTTTGTCGTCATAAGGGTTTTAGTGCAGTGTTTTACATCACACGCCAAATTCTAACATCTAAAAAGCCTGTTTCACGAGCTGAACTCTGCTTAACCAAATAATTAAATCAGCAATATATGAAGTAAATCAAAAGGGAAACCAGCCAGAAGCAAGCAGCTACATTGTCGTGATTGTCGTGATCCACTGTCCTTTTGTTAAGCTGAAACATGTTGCTTGTGACTGCTGCTGTGACTGGTAGTGCAATCTGTGCAATCTTCTGCATGTTTAAGCTATAATAAAGATTACGTAGCAGCCCAGTCTTGTTCTTCTGAAGTTGTTTCACCATGTTGTAGGTATGCAGTAAAAATGTCATAGTATGGCCAGGTATGAAGTTTTGTAATAAAAACTATTCCCAGAACGTAAAAACATGTTGATGCTGGGACAGTTTACAAACTAAAACAAAGGTTCGCAACACAAGGTGGCTCGTTACAAGATGCAGTTTGTCCACCTATTTGGAAGCAGCAATGGAAACAACAGAAAGTTCATTCAGCAGCAGATAAAACTCAGCAACACTGAGGTAGTTAGCACCCTTGGATTATTGATACTGGTGGCACACACTGCTTAATTCAACCAAACTGACATGATCAGCAAGGTGTCCAGTGGCAAATATCAAGCATGATGATACAGATGGGATTAGCACCAGACACAATAGTGCGCCCGGGAACAGCGGGGTACCGACCTTGTCACAGCAGGGTGGTGAGAGACCCTGCCAACACGCGAATACACATCTGTAACTCCACAGGAAGCAGTCCCATCTGTTAATGAGCTCAAGCCATTACTAAAGTGATAAAGTTAGACAGCATTGGCAATGTCACCTGGGCAGGTGTGACTTAATAAAGCTGCTAAACGTTTCTATAAAGTGTTTCCAGCTAAAGCACATATTCTGTTTCTTTCCCACTTACTGATTAATATAATACATTAAATAAAATACACTGTATGTTCTAGTTTGATTGGGTTTTGGATAGTTTCTCCATTTAAAAAGAAATGGACAGCACGTGGCAGGACTGCATCTTCCTCTCAGTTTTTTCTCCAACCTTTTATGCTGCCCCCCCTCATTCGCCTGCCGATCAGGTCCAATCAATGTTGGCGGTACTCTTTGCGTGCCAAGGCGGACATCTGTGCCGGCCAGATTCTCCAAAACTGTCAAATGAAAGCAAACAAATGCTATCCCAGGAAATTATGTGTGTGTGTGTGTGTGTGTGTGTGTGTGTGTGTGTGTGTGTGTGTGTGTGTGTATTTGTGGGCCTGCATAGTTAATTAAGTGGCTGGCTGAGATGAGAGACTACATCTCACAGGTAATTCTGGTGGACACCATCACCTGTTA